GTTTGTAAGACAATGACATAGGTAGAATTTTTTTTTTTTTTTTTTTTTTTTTTTTTTGTAAACAGACATTGCTTTTGCAAGGTTACTTCCCCCAGCTAAAATAACTGAAACAAAAAGAGTTCAGCAACTTAGTAGAATTTTGGACAGAATTTGTCCTGTATATAAGAGATTTTCAAAGACATCTTAAGTGTTTCTTCCTTGATAACTTCCAGTGCTGCCTCCTCTAATTACATATGGCACAGCTCTCAAAAGTACAGCACTGTGTTATTAGAATGTGTAAATAAATTAGTAACAAGGGTGGGTTTGGTTTTTTTTCCTTTTCATACAAACTACAGTGTCAGGAGTAGTTTTGTACATTTGACTGCTATTGCGTGGCAATAAAATGTAGATGAATATTCTCTATCTCATGTTTGCTTCAGAGTTCAATTTTCATATTAGAATTAATTGATTCATCATTGAATGACTTCAAGTAACCATAGCACCTGAATCGTCTTATAGCCATGGTAACCTTCCACCCATTCCTTGGAAAGTCATACTACCAAAACAATTATCTGCTGTCTGTGTTGCCTGCAAAAAAAAAAAAAAAAGCTGATGCTGTAATGAGGCATTGAGAGTGACGAGCACTTTACTGTTGTAGCAGGTCAGCTAAAGAATGATCAGTTAAAGCAAGGCTGTATGATTTCGTACAGAAAACAGTATGTTCTTAAAAGAGTTCAGCAAAGGCAGGGTGTTTTGTTTCAGGTCAACCATTTGTAAATCCTGATGGGACACCGGCAATATACAATCCTCCCAGTGGCCAGCAGACGATGAGGAGCCAGATGGTGGGACAGTCTCAGCAGCAGCCTTCATCCCAGCAGCCTCAGCAGGTTCAACAGCCACAGCAGCAAATGGCAAGTCACCTTGTCACACAGGTAGGTGTGGTGGCCATTGGAAAAAGAGAAGGAGATCTTAGGGACACAAAGGATGACCTAAAGGGTAGGAGGGAAGGATGCAGCTAGAGAAAATATCAGGATGTTCATAGAATCATAGAATTGTTTAGGTTGGAAAAGACCTTTAAGATCATCTAGTCCAACCATTAACCTAACATTACCAAGTCCACCACTAAAACAGTTAAGGGTAGAGTAGTAATTTCATGTTTCCTGGCTTGGTGGCTGGATTATTTTTAATGAAAGTAAAAACTAGGAATCATTAAGGTTGGAAAGGACCTCTAAGATCATCGATCCAACCATCAACCCAACACCACCATGTCCATTAAACCATGTCCCAAAGTGCCACTTCTACCCATTTTTTGAACACTTCCAGGGATGGTGACTCCACCACCTCTCTGGGCAGCCTGTTCCAATGCTTGACTACCCTCTCCATGAAGAAATGTTTCCTAACATCCAATCTAAACCTCCCCTGGCGCAGCTTGAGCCCATTTCCTCTTGTCCTATAGCTAACTGCTTGGGAGAAGCTTTCTTTTGAGACAAATGGGGCCCACGATCTGTATTTTCAATGTGGATGAAACAGATGGAGAGGGAAGATTCCTTTTTCAATTCCATCTAAAGGATGGTTTCATTTCGAAAAGGACTGTTAAGCGAGTTGGTATATGTCTACATAAATTTATTTTGCAAAAATCGACCCTAAGTGAAAGCTGAAGCATTCATTCTCAAACTAGTGCAGTCTGTAATTCTCTCCAAAGAGCCAGGGACCTTTCCCTGACCCTTTTGGCAGCAGTGGGGTTGAGTCAAGGAATCAAGTACAATGCAGGGCTCTACAAACTCTTCCATGTCCGGTTATATCAGGCCTGAGTTGTGGGTATCCCACTCAGCAAGCATCCCTGCCCCAGACTATGAGTCTTCTGCCTGTGCCCCGTGTTCTGGCCATGACCCTGTTCTGAGCTAGAAGCTCTGGAGGTACAGCAGGAGAGGGGGAGAGCAGCATAGTTTGGGCACAGTGCCATGGTATGTCGGCTCTCTGGTCCCTGGGCTGGCCGTGGCTAGCGGCCAGACGTGGCTGAGCATGGGCAGCAGGGTTTGGGTCTGGTTCAAACTTAATTTTGTGGATTGTGTGTCTGCTCTGCCAGAGCAGAGCAGGCAGAGGAAACCACGCAAGCAAGAATCCTACATCCTGCTTACTCGCAGAGTAGCCAAGATCTACTATGGTTCTTGTGTGGCTTTATAATTTAGCACGGTTTCATCCTAGGTTACCCAGAAATACAGTGTTTAAATTCAGTGAAGTTGCTTCAATTTTACTGGTGCTTATGTATTTGTGGCTCTTTTTCTTAATTTGGTCTTAGCGGTTTTAGAAGACAGAGGTAGTACCAAACCTGTGTAAGACTCAAGTTAAATGAGAGATTAAAACAAAAGGAATAGTAAAGCTATTCTAAGGTAATAGTGCTGTGGAAAATTGTTCTTTTGCTTAGATAAATATCTGCTCTAAGCTGACAGACCTGTCTGTGTTGTTAGTTCGCAGCCTGTTCTTTGTCAATCTTTTTTTAGCTACTGTGATCTGCCAAAGCAGCTTTAAAATCGTTATTCCTTTGCCCATGACAAACTCGGAGTTAAATCAGTCATTATCACCAAAATTCAAATATACACTTACACTGTGCTGCTCCTCCATTTTATCTCTGTAAATTAAATGTAGACTCATAATTTGGCTGTGCCTCACATCAGTAATAAGAAGGTGTAGCTGTGGCTTTATTTAATCCAACAGCTATCAAATATATGAAAATAGGCAGAAAAATCTTTAATAAAGAATTGTTTGGTATAAGGCTAAAATGAAGACTGAAATTGCAGTACCTGACCTCTTATATTTGGGCTGGCGATGAGTCACCTGCATTTTTAGAGCTGTGTTTGTGATCTGTGTTCTCAGTAACAGAGTTTGTTGTTGTTATCTCTCTCTAAGTAGGTTGTATTTATTGTCTTTCACTGTGTTTATTTTGCAGCCTGTTCAGGCAATGCAGCCATCTTCTCAGTCAGTCCAATATCCAGCAGTTTCTTATCCTCCCCAGCATCTCCTGCCAGTCTCTCCAACGCAGCAGTTTTCTGTGGTACTAAAGATTTTTTTATTTTATTTTATTTTATTTTTTTAAATTTTTCTCCTTCCCTTGAAGTTGGGGTTGTGAGCATGAGTATGCCCAAGAGCCTCTGGGGAGCACTGCAAGTAGCATCCCACGTGAGCGCCCCATCTAAATCCCCCTTTGCCTTAACACTTTTGGTACTGAGAAGCATTTTGTAAGAGCGTTCCCACTGATTCTGGTTATCTAACCTGAAGGATGATGTTAGGAGCAGGGCACTCTAACTGGTTAGCAGAGCCTGCAGAAAAATGTTTTGTTGTGCCTTATGACAGGAGCGTGTGTTTCCCCACTTCATGTCAAGGGAGCTTAAATTGCTAACTTGGGCATTTGAGATTTGGGTTATCCCCTTTTTGTGTCCACAAAGGCTGGAGAAGAGACCTCTAGAAAACATTATTTTTTTATTTATGTGATTTTATCAGTATACTAAATCCACTGTCTGGATTTATTCCCTGATGTTGCCAGAGCACTTGGAAAACAGAGTAGCGGTGAACCAGCTGCAGAAAGTGTGGTACACTATGCATCATGACAAAGCACCAATGGACATGTATAATAAAAATAAATGGAGTGCTCTTCTGGAGTCTGAATCTCGCTTGGTGCTTAGAGGGCTATGATTATACTGTTGTAAAATGAATCTGACATTTTAAGAGGCACTACAAGATTTTTTTTCTGTTATTTTTCTCTCTTGCTCTGGTAATTTTGTTTATGACTGATTTTTTTTCCCAAGGTAGAGATGTCACGTAGTTATAGTAAGAGATGGAAACAAAGCTGAACGGATCCTTGCAGCTAAAATAATGTTATTAATGCCTGGTAGATGAGCAGTACCATTTAAAGGACAATAAAAAATGTTCTGTGCTGAAAAGAAGTTGCATATCCCAGTGCTAATTCCCTTGAAATGTGTCTTGCAGGCATCTCAGGTTGTTCTAGTGATAGTCATAGGAAGGCTGATATTTTTAGTGGCTAATTTAATAGTGAAACTTCACCTGAATTAATGTCTTCAATGTAGAAATTACAGGGTTTTGAAGCTCTTGGTCTTATATTGTGCAAATCCAGACACATTTCAGGCTCAATGAAGTTTCTCGTAGAATCTGTTTGCAGTCATTTGCTATCCAGGTAATAAATATCCTAGCTTTTTGAAGAAACAACTTCAGACAGACAACTTGTGTGCCTGAATATGGATGTAGGATGATGGCAAAGTTAATAGCATTACTTTCTTACACTACCTGAAGATCTGCCAGGAATGTTTCAAATGTTTGCCCATGGTATCTCCTCTCAGAGTAGGAGGGTGAGTCTCTTGTGCAGTCTCTGGCAGTGCTTTCCACAAACAAACTTTTTTTTTTCTATTTTGAAGTTTCCTGCCAATAAATACATTGTGCGGGATAGTTTTGGAGAATGAACACCACAGGGATGTGAACAAAATCGAAGAGGCTCCTTTTAAAAAATAGCATGGATGTTCTAAGTGAAAAGCATTTTTATAGTGCTTATTCCCTATCTGTAAGGTGGTATGAGGAAAGGACTGCATATATAATCTGCGACTGCATATTAGCACACGATGGAATTTTATGCTGGATTTATTGCCGTATAGAGTACATCTTAATGCTGAGTGTTTAAAACTCTTATGATAATGGCACAAATGAAGATGCATAGAACCACGTTTGTAAAACTTCGACCTTCACAGAATAAACTTGAGAGCGTTGATTAGTATGGATCTTTTTGCAAGACTGAACAGATACTGTCTAGAATCCTTGTATCATTAGCAGCATGTAATGAAACTTAGGTCCATTGACTTTATTTGGTACGTTCATCCTACCATAGATTTATTTTTTTCCCCCTCCAGTCAAATTAAGTACTTGTTTCTTTCCAACACTGAATAAAAAGCCTTGAAATAGCAACTGAAGGCTTAGATTTTTTTAACCTTCTCTATGTTCACAACCTTGGATTTCAAAACAGTCCAAAAAAGAAAAGGTCTGCACCTGAATCCTACTGAATTCCTCTTGAGATCATTTTGAAACACAGGTGAAATTACCAGCATGTGTTTGGCTGAGGAATTCTGTCTTTGGGGGAAAAGGTATTCATAATGTTATTTTCCTGCCCTTTATATTTAAAATGTCTTCTTTTGAACATTGTAAAGTTCACTTATCATTTTGGAATAAAGGCGGGGAGGCAGGGTAAAAGCCAAAATAATTGGCTTTTGTGCCAAGTGATGCCATTCACCTTGCAGTCTGGAAGTCTTTGTCAAAGCATTTATAGTGATTTTCATTTTAATTGCCTCCATTTTTGTAGATACCCATGCAAAGTTTGGCATGTATTTGAGCCGAGTGATTCCTTTCCCCCCCATGCTCTCTTTGAACCTATTTTGTTTTGCTAATTTGAGTGTCTACTGCAGACATCATGTCTACATCATTTTCTACTGCCTTATGCCCTGCAGCGAGATGACATGACAACACAGTTTAACCAGATGAGCTTAAGCCGTCAATCATCAGGAGACAACCCTGAATCGCCTTCTGGTCCTGTCTACCCATCACCTATCTTGCAGCAGCCTGCCCAGCAGACGGGTTACATTATGGCTTCCCCAAGTCAGCAGCTTCCCCCGGGAGGCTTCACAGGTTCAGGTCCACCAGTGTCCCAGCAAGTGCTGCAGCCGCCGCCCCAGGGCTTTGTGCAACAACCACCGCCACCTGCTCAGGTAGGCAAAACCTCCGCTACCAGTTTGGCGTGGCACTCATTATAACGTCATAATGAGAATATTAAAAAAAAAACCAAAAAATTATCGAGATTCTAGATTATTTATTTTTCTTCCCCTGGTAAAAGCTTAGCAGATTTTTAGGCAGCAGGAAACTTGCAAAGCCTCTATCATTTCCTGGGTTTCAGCAGTTCCTTCCCTATCCTCAAACCATTTTCTGAACATATGTTCATACTCCAGGACACATCTGCACATGAATATGAAGGAGGAGGGTGAGTAAATATCCGTAGTCCTTTTTCCCTGTGTATATATACACCAAAAAGAGCAACGTGCGCATCAGCCCAGGTAGTCGTTAATCATATTTAATTGACTTGAACATGTGAGATGTCACAGATCAGTAATTTTAACTGTCTTCCTGAAGACTGATTATGTTTTACTGTTCACTACCAAACATCTCTACTTGTCTCCTGGGTACCTTTACAGAATAGTGAAAGTGATTACTGTCAAGAAGTAAAATGCACAGATGACTTTCTGGCCCATTTTCAAGGCATACACTTTAAAAAGCCAAATTTCTTTATCCAATTATAGATAACTTCATTTAAACTCTACTTTAAAATGGTATTGATAGTATTTCTCCTGTTTTCATCCTTTAGAAGAAAATACATAAAAAATGAGGTAAAAAAAAAAAAAACCCTTCATGTAAGCTTAATGTAAAAGTAGCGTAAACCCTACTGGGTTTTTTGTTTGCCACTTCTTACTGAAAATCTCCAATTGTGTTTGTTAATGGGATTCTGTATTGCCACAGTAATGAAGAATTTATACTGTTATAATGTTTTAAGTGGGCTAGAGATCTAGTTAATTAGATCACTAATTAACAATAAAAGAAACATCCCATAGAGGACTGTGACATCCGTAGTTTCTGTTGTTAGACAATATGCAGCCATTTTTTCTGAGAGATGACTTGCCAAAAATAATTTTTAAGGAGCTGAAGTTCAATGTAATGTGGTGTTTTCTTTTAAAAAAAAAAAAAAAAATTGAAAATACTGCTAAAGAAAGATTTCACTATTTGCCAAATGTAACATTTTTTTAAAAATTTTGGGAGGAAAAAAATGACCTGAAGAGCACTGGTTAATCCATCTTCCCATCTAGACTGTGTCTCTTAAGTGAGTAAGTAGAGGCTGTCCAGGCTTCTTTCCTCACGTACAACCCCCCGGTGCCCTCAGTGTTTTCAAGCATCATTTAATCAAACCTCACGACACTTCTAGTGAACCAGATAAATGCGAGCACCTCCGTTTTACAAGCTGTCACCACAGCAGGCGAAGCGATGCGTTTCCCAGCCCTGCCAGCCAGGGTTTGCTGCGGGAGCTAAGGGGGCTGCAGCGTCGTGCTGCCTGCCGTGGCTGTTCTCCCTCATTAATGCTTACTCCGGTGCTACTGGAGAGGCAGATGAACTTCTTCAGAGGACAAGTGATGAAGCCCATGTATGCAAACACATACATGCGTGCCTTGCTACAGAACAACCCTAATGATTAAGAAAACAAAACAAAACAACTGCTTAAGGGAAGTGTTGGCAGAAGTATATCCCCGGAATTGCAGTGGCAATAATATTAGGCTTCAGAGTTAACAACCCACTGTCAAAAGTGGGAAGATACAAACATACAAGCATGCACAAAAAGTAAGATGGAGTGTTGGTGCCTTAGGTTTCTTTATAAGAATACCTGAGTCTTATAAAAGTGGCAATGGTAAAAATGGTGCCTTTTCATACACAGGCTGCTGTAGGACCAGTACCATACTGGTGTGTCGAACGGCCACTGTGTCTCTGTCCCTACCCCCAATACGGTGCGTACGGGTGCTTTCCTCCTATGTTCTAACAAAGAGGAAAGTTACTGAGGGCAGGAAAATATCTTTTGGGTTTGCAGCAACTTCAGTTATTTCACTGGGGAATGGTTTGTCCTCGGGGGGCGTAGAAAGGTAAGAAATTTAGCGCCGTCAGCTTCTTCTGCATCCGCTGCACTGCGCGCACCATTCATCTCCAGCTTGTTGCTATTCCAAAAAATCCCTGTCTCATCCAGATACCTGTGTGGAAGAGGGCACAGGGCCGGGGGGCGGGGGAGGTGTCAGTCCCTGCTGCCCATGTGCCTATACCATGAAAGCCCAGTGGCCTCGGTCTGCTGGGAGGGAGAGGGGCAGCAGCTCTCTGCATCCTCATGCACAGATGGGAACTTCTGATTGACGTTTCAAGTTTCAATTCATTCCCTTCAGCCCTAGAATATGGCATGATGGCTTGCATACTACTTGTAGCACGTGTAGAGCAAATAGGGGATCTCTCTTATAGAAAGATGAGTGAAGCCTTGGGAAACAGTAGTTCCTGTGTCCTAACAGCTCAGCTTTCTGCGCAGGGCAGCTACGCCCTGAGTCCCTGTCCTGCTGGTGGCAAAACTTCACTTGTGGCAGTGGCTGTTGGACACCTGTAACTCTTTTGGGCTTAGATGCAAAGGTAAGGCTGCTCTCAGATGCCAAAGCAGGTGGTCTGAGGCAGGCTTAAAAAAAGAAAAGGCAATAAAAATGGTAATGTATGCAAAACAGTATGTGATGCATTAATCAATTCAATGCAATCAATGTAAAAGCACTTTTATATCCTAAATGTTGCTATTTAATTTATACCAGTAAAAAAGAGGCTTGACTCTAATGGCTAATTAGTTCCTGTAATGCCTTGCTGATAAGGTTCTAGTGGGTTGGCTGTGGGGCCCTGCATGCTGTTGGAAAATATCAGAGCAAGGAAAACTTGGGTGGAGATCCTGTATGATCATTTTCTTCGGGCAAAGAGGAGAAAGAAATGCTCTCCAAGCCCACAAACCCAAAGGTACTGCATTTAAATTATTAGCTTTTGTATTAAAGTTCACTTAGACGTGGCTCTACAGCTGCTCTCCAAGATTGTCGCTTCCGGTGTGTATCAAAGCAGAAGCAGACCGAGTTTGAAACGACATGCCTAAGAGGTGGCGAGATGACCCCTTGCATTTCTTTTGCTGCTTCTTTCATCACAGCTGTTCCCCAGCTTGACAAGAGAGTCATGATTTAATAACCTGAAAATAATGGTCTGTCTTCATTTCAGGCAGTTGGAAAAAAACCAAAACCAAGCCAAAACCCAACCATTACTCTGGGTTTGCTGAAAGGGACTTTTAGCAGCAAATTCCTGTTTGCTTTCTGCATCACAAACAGCAAACATACATCTTTACTTTCTCTATTTTCTTCTATTTTTAATTTTCTATTCTTTCTGATGGTTCTTCTGTAGCACTTATGGGCCCAGGCACTTCAGCGAGGGTCCACATTCGGTTTTTGCAGCACTCTTTCATTGGTGCTTGCCATTGCACTGCCTCTGCAAATGAAGAAATGGGAAAACTGTGGGTACTATGCCAATAGGAAAGCATACACTCCCTTTAAAGTTATTTTCACTTCTGACTCATTCTTTGTGGAAGCTGTACTGGCAAAATTATGTCCAAAAATGAGATGGCATGAATTCTTGGAGAGTCTGGGAGAAGTAATACATGTGTTGAGGTATTTTCTCACCTGAATTAATTTTGTGTCATCATTGGGTTTAGTTGTCTCTGCAGAAGCCCCCTCCTAGAGAGTCCATAGCTACCATAAGACAAAATCTTTATTCATAGCATGTCTCCTCTAGGAAACTTGTTATGAAAAAGGCTGGGGAGTTAGTGCAAGTGAGTGGGTCTTTTCTTGATGATCTCAGATGATTATATTGGAGGATATGCCTGTAGTTGTACACAGACCATTATTTTTTTGTTACTGTTACTGTATTTATTATGGAGGATGGGGAGTAGGGGGGAGAGAAAAATCCTTGAAGAATGACTGATCCCAGTCAGTTAGATATCGGGAAGAAATGATACCTCCATGTGTCCATATATCACTGTGGTTTCTGTTGTCTTCGCTCCCATTTATGCAACCGTAGCTGCCACTGGCAGCATTGCTAATCACTTGGATGAAGGTGTTAATCCAAACCTAACTGGTTGTCAGCAATGTAACAGAAAGGGGAATACCTGTCTGATGGCAGAATCAAGCTGTAAGTCAGCAGGGAGATGGTTTAGGAAAGTAAAATCAGCCTGAAAGATGTGTGGAATCCTATTCCTACCATGAGGAAATAAACGACATACCTGTGAATTTAAGGGATGCTGTTAGAAAGCAGTCCAAGGGAGATCCAGTCTGGTAATGGGTTTCAAACTACGTGGACAGAAAAAAGCAGAAAGCCAATGCTGTATTCAGTCTCTACCCATCATCTAGAGAAAAAACACATTAGAAGGAGGAAAAACTAATGTCTGTCAGTGCCAATTCATGAGTGTCTCTGACGTGATGTGCCTAGTTCTGTTACAGTTTAAGTTAAATAAACAAAATTATGTATACGAGAGAAAAAATAGAGATGAGTTGGAATGGTCAGCCTACAAGCAAGGAGCATATTCACCTTCAAAATGAGAATATCCAAGGGGGTAAGGATCATCTGTCGACTGTTTCCATAGCAATTATTAAAGGGGGGGATTTTTCACAGTGTCAAGGATTAAGATCAAGAAAGTATAGTTTTAGACTAAAGACGACAGTGTTTTTTAGCTTATGGTCTTAGAAGGGCATTTCTGTGGTTTGTTTTTTTGGGTTTTTTTTGTTTGTTTGTTTGTTTGGGGTTTTTTTTAGGATAACCATACAGCTGTGTTGGCATGCCTGTTAGCATAGTGGAAACTTCTTGGTTCTGTAAATGAAATATGTTACACAAGCAAAAGGTCCAAGGTTAGATTGTGAATTCATGTGGGAAAGCAACTCAAGTATAATTTGGCATGTCAATAGGCTGCTACAGAAATGTAATGTTTTTTGTTGAAGAGCACATAAGCAGAGGTGTTAGTAACGCTGATGTAATGAGAAATGAAAAAATTCAAGAGGGTCAGAGTAGATGATGTAAGTGATACTTGTTATCTCTGATCCCTCTAATTCCACTGTTCACTAACGTAATATCAGAAAGGACAAATAACATGTTTCAACTACTGATGCAGAGATATACTCAAGATAAATGAAAATGGATCCTTCCAAACCCCTCAACCACAAAAGACCTATTTTATCCATGTCTATATTTTACACCAAGCCCTTCCTTTAATGTCTGATCTCTTAAGGGGGAA